CTTTCCAAGAAACTGACAGACAGATGAGACTCAGGAATGTCAGCCAAGCAGAGGAGACAGAATTATGGGACTCTTGGCAAGGAGAATAACCAAGAAGGGGCAGAGATATGGCCTGCACCAATTCCTCCAATATCATCTGGAGGAAGGACTGTGTCCAGTTTTGGGCACCACAATTCAGGAAAGATGTGGAGAAATTGGAGAGGGTCCAGAGAAGAGCAACAAAAATGATTAATGGTCTAGCAAACATGAGCTACGAGGGAAGATTGAAAGAACTGGGTTTGTTTAGTCTGGAAAAGAGAAGACGGAGAGGGGACATCATAGCAGTTTTCAACTACCTAAAAAGGTGTTCCAAGAAGGAGCAAGAAAACTTGTTCTCCTTGGCCTCTGAGGACAGGACAAGAAGCAATGGGCTTAAACTGCAGCAAGGGAGGTTTAGGTTGGACATTAGGAAAAACTTCCTAACTGTCAGGGTGGTTAAACACTGGAATAAATTGCCTAGGGAGGTTGTGGAATCCCCATATCTCTGGAGATATTTAAGAGCAGGTTGGACAGACATCTATCAGGGATTCTAGATGATGCTTGGTGCTGCCGTGAGGGCAGGGGACTGGACTTGATGACCTCTGGAGGTCTCTTCCAGTTCTAGGATTCTATTATTCTAAGTAAATTAAAAACCTATATTTTCAAGGTCAGGAGGGACCATTTCGATTGTGTAGGCTGACCTCCTGCACCAATTCTAGGTCTAGGGACCTAGAATTTCATTCAGCGATTCCTGCACCAATCTCAATGGCTCATGGCAAAATGAGAGCATCTTTTTTAGAAAAGCACCCATTCTTAATTTAAAGACCAAGGGCTGGAGCATCGGCCACATGCCAGTCTGCTACAATGGCTAAGTATTGTCATGCTTCTAGTTTGATCACCATTTTCAGCTTTGACCTGTTGGATTTTATGCTGTTACTACAATGTCTGTGGTATCAGATTAGATCAATTTATAGAGCAAGATTATCAGCAAGCAACAGAGCCCTCTTACAAGCACCTACGCAAGACTTTTCCTCTGTCGATCTCAAAGTGCTCCACCAAAAAAAGTTCTGCATTGCCGCTTCCATTTTACCACCAGGCAACATGAAATAGACACCACACCCAACACCACTGAAGCAAGCTACTGTGAGAAACACATATCCAAGCCGGTCTTTGGGCACTGAGAGCCAAGGAACAAGGTGCTATCCTAGGCCACAACACACAACCTGCTCATCTGACATATTACTAGGGCCCTTTGTTTTCTGTTTGCATTTTAGGTCAATTTTCCCAGGAATGTATCATCGTTTATTACTACAACAACAAATATCAGTTGAAAAATCAGTATAAAACTATTCATAATTGTTCTGGGTAAATATTGGGATTCAGTTTGGTGCATGGAAGGATGAGGGAAGGTATTCCGTAGATGAATGCCTTGATAAATGGAATTCAGACTGGTTAGCTGCAGAACTAACACACAACTCAGAACACAGAGCCACCTTTGAGCTTAAGCAAGCAATACAGTGGCAATCCCCAAATCAAACTTTTTGTTTGAATAAACAGTTTCCTGTTGCAGACTATTTGACTGCAAATATTTACATTTCAGGGTCATGCCATTTGCTGCACCTACACTCAACTTCATCCTTTTTCTCTTGCTTTTTTTTTAAAACTTCCTTGTGCAAAGGAATGCATTCCAACACACATTTTCATGTTCCTCCCATTTTAACGGGTCCACACTTGACACGGGTCTTGGCTAACAGCTTGATGTGTGAATGTGACGGGTATGAGAGATATTAGTGCATCCAAATGTGCATGCACCTTAGCTCTGGCACACTTTCCTGTTGTATTTTCTAAACTAACACGTAGCCTTTCTTCAACAAGCTGCTTTGCATAGACACACAAATGAATATATCATCGTAATACTATTTCTTATGCAATCTATTGTATTTTCCTAATAAAACACGTGATTTTTCCCCCCTATATTTGAAGGGCACAAAAGTAGGGGTGAAAAAAAATCAGAAGAAAACTTCTGTAAAAAACAAGGATTTTTTTCCTGTAAAAATCAGTTTAAATTGGGGGGGGAGAAGGAAGTGTGTGTGTGTGGGGGGGAGGGGGGGCAGGTGAGGGCAGAATCTCTCTATAGGAAGTGCCCTGCATGGATTACTTCCTGTTCTTGAGCCACTAGCCAATTAGAAGACATTGTATCTATCTGAGTAGGTTTTATTTAAGTGGGGCACTTGGTCTGGACTTTCAGGATAGCCAAACAAGCCAGACTTCTGCCGTCAGTCAGCAGAACCCAGTTCCTCAAGCCTTAAGTGCACAGTTTCATAACGCAAGAAGCAGGGTGCAATTTTGTGATTCCTGGAACACAGAGTCTGAGGAGAATAATTGTCCTCCTGGGAACGAACTGCTCCAATTACCTGGAAGCTGTAGCGACGGCACTCACTCTGATGCCATCTCTCCGCGATAATAACGAAGTGGGTTCTTCTTATAGATCAAGTTATTTGAAATATTTGCCAGCTCTCTCTAGTACTCTCATGACAAGTTAACATCAGCTAGTGTCATTTCTTCTAGCCTGGCTCCTGTTCCCTTTGCGCTGTACGACTGGAAACCACGTGACATTTATTAAATCAACTTTCCCTTTGCGATTTTTCAAGGAATCAAAACATTGATCTCTGCTTTCACTTAACCCACTTAAGAGAAGAATCCAGACACCAGAAAAGCTAAGACAGTGACAAGGGCTGACTCCTTAATGCTAATGGGACTATTTTGCCATGTTGCATTTCAGAGAAAACTGAGACCCTTGGTTGCAATTTTCAGTCTTGCCAAATCTTGTGAGTCCGGTTTCTAAATTTGCATCGAGATAAACTGGGGTGTCATTCACTGAAATGACCGAACGCTTTGGCCACACCAAACATTTCTGAGACCAAGTCATGAAAATACCTGCCCCTTAACTGCCCCTCACAACACTGCCTCATCCCACACTATCGTAAGGCTTTATTGCTTGGGCAATGAGCACTATTTTCACATTTGCAAGCTAAGAAAACAATGCTCAGGGGATTACTACAGGTTCAACATCTCTAATCTAGCACCCTGGGGGCCAGACCAGTTCTAAACCAGAGATTTGCCAGATGACAGGAGATCAATATGGTTTAACAGTGTTACCAACACTTCCACTGCTTACTGGGCTCTGAGAAGACATTTAGGGGCTAAATAACAGCACAGAACACTGAGAGCCAGGACTAGTGGCTGGAAAACTTAATGGGACAGCAGGAAACTTGGCCACACCCATGAAAAGTGGACATCCGGCTAACTCAAATCATGCTGGACCACGGATGTTGCTGGACTAGAAGGGCTCAACCTGTAACCAAATAGATCATCTAGCCACATTCATTGCACCCTTGTAAGCACCAGCCATCGTGAGTAGTGGATTAGCCAGGGGTACTGCTGGAAGGAACGCTGTTCCATGATGACAGTCTCGAATACCGCAAACTGGCAGAATTACGTTTATACAAAAAACCTTTTAAATTCTCATTCATGAACTCTGCAGTGCTTGATCTAGCAATGTCTGCTCTCTTGTGTGTGAGAGAGAGTCGCTGTCAGGACGATGTCCAAGCAGAAAAGTATCAAATGCTGAGAACAGATCCTGATTCTTGAACGTGTTCCAGCTGAGATGCTGTGTCCAGACTGATTTATTTTCAATCCACAACTGGACCCTCCTCTGTCTCAAACAACCACCACTGCCGTGGAGGGAGGAAGGGAGGGGAACATACCTGGAACATCAATACATCTGGGCGTGGGCAGGTTAGGGTGTGAGGAGCGAACTTCTAAGTCAAAGGGCTTTCATAAAGCACGCCTTCTGGTTTACACCTCCAGTTTGAGGGTAGCTGTCTTGATGCCATGTGGCATGGATTGAGGAATAACTTCAAAATTCTTACTTAGATTAGACTAGGACTAGTAAATCCTAATATAGACAAAGCCACAAATAACTGTTACCAAACCATTAAGAGCCTACTAAGGCATCATTTTTCTTGTGTGTTCTCACACTGCCTAGAAATAGAGACACTTTTTCCACCTAACTACTCTTCTTTCTGCCCCATTGATGTTAATTCAACAAATTCCCCAGTCGGTTAAATAGGATTAGAAAAGATGACAATGATGATAAATAGAACAGTCCTTTCCCACAGGAAGGTAAAATGCATGGGAGACTGGGCTTTTTGCAGCAGGTTCTTGCCTAGTTATCCACCTTATAAAAATAAATCAGCATCTTTATTCCTACTGATAACTGACGCATTTGGGAAATTGCTAGACGAAGGGTATATGCGTGGGGGAGGGAGGTTGTTTGACACTAAGGCATTCATGAAATAATTCTATTGGAGCAACTAAATATATGCATTAGTTTTGTACACTGGAAGCTTCAGTAATGCATCCAATTCAAGCCTTTTAACGTCTCACCCTAAGATGGAGACATTTCAAACGAGTGCTGATATCTTCCTGTAAGCCGTATGGGAAATAACATGTAACCAGCCTGAAATGGAAATCCATAAAGTCCGTTCAGGACCTGGTTGTAAAATATCACACAATGCATCGGCATGTTAATTGGAATTTGAAGGGAAGCTGTCAGATTAAACATACTTCTGATTTCTTTAGCTATTACATACCTTTAGCTATTACATACCTAATTATTCTCATTAAAAAAAAATCTAAATCTCTTCACCCGCTATTTAGAAACTTCATTTAATTGGGTTTATACAGCTAATTCACTTTTTTATACCTCATGCAACTTTGATTCTAATGACCGACTAGTCAATTTCATTTTTCTGGCCCTCTGGTCATAGAACAATGTTGTAGCATTTCAGGTACAAACATTACTCCGCAAAACCCAAATAGAATACTCCTACAAGCACATTTAAAAAGCCATGGAAATCTTTTCCTTATTCAGTTTTGTGATTTGATCAAACAAAACAAAAAAATTGAACTTGAATTACCTGACACCAGGTCAGACGTTCCTATCCACTTCAAGTGAGAAGGAGCAAAAAGTAATGCATTCTTCGAAGAAGTTCCAAAAGGAGGCATCCGGATGTAGCATATGATTCCTCCCAGCCTCACGGATGAACCTGTACAGGAACTAGTGGTGCAACACAGGGATCTGTTCTTGCATTGATGCTATTCCACACCTTTTCTGGAAGAAAATATAAAATCATTAATGGTAAAAAAAAAAAAAGTGTAGATGGAGCCCACTGGTAAAGTGGCAAAGGGAGGGGCCCATTAATATTTTTTTTAATTTAAAAATTTTTTTTTTTAGTAAACATGGGTTTTAATAAAACTAACTGCAAGGTCAAAATTTAGGAACAAAACTGTAGGTCTGTGATGGGACTTCTCTGCCCCCTAGAAACACTAGTGCCAACTAAGGATGCAAAAGATGAACCAGTTAACCAGTAAACATTAGCCTTACTGGCATGCTTACCTGGTAACCAGTTAACCAGAGGGCCAGACCAGGTCTGGCAGGAGCAGCCTCCGCTCATGGCAGCCTACCAGCCACAGTGAACCCGGCGGGATCTGCCCCCTAGTTGCGATGTGGTGGGCTGTCTGGGCCGGAGCGGAGGCAGCGCCACCCACGGAGGGCCAGGCTGTAGGAGCCCCGTTGGGGCCTTTGCCTAGAGCAGCCACTGCCACAGGACTCCAGCTGCTCTGCACCAGCCTTCCACGGTTAACTGGTTAAACGATTAAAATTGCATCATTTATTCGGTTAACTTTTTAAATGGGTATTTACATCTTTAGTGCCAACACCTCCCCCCTCCTCCAGGGAAAACCCATTCAGACGGGGCTATTGCAGAGGCCTAGAAGGAAGCGGTAGACACGCCGAGCCATCAGGAGCCAACAGGCTGGTTAAGGCGTACCTGCTGCTGCTCGCTAGTGGAGATCAGGAACTTGTGCTTGTTTCCACTGTGTAGCCTGAGCGTGGTGGGTTAAACCAAGCGCTGCCCCGGAGGTGAATCTTGCAAGGTGGTGGCTCTGTGCTTTCGGGACCGGCGAACCAGACAGCGTGCAACGGATCGAGAACTGGGCACCCTGGCAGGCCTGTGCTGCCTGAGGCTGGTGCAGACAAGACAATCAGAAGACTCCGATTTCCACACCAGGCTTATAGGCTGCAGGCAGACAAGCACTATGACATCACAGCTAACTCAGCCAATCACCACTCGCTCTTTCCTGTTCATTTGCATACTTGGATCCCGTTGGTTGATGCGAGTCAGCAAATGAAAATGCAGGTGACTTTCACAGAGTCGGTGGGCGCAGGAGGTTCAGGCGTAACTGGGGCTACTTCAGGTCAGGGGCCCTCTATGCTGCACCTGGCTGAAACCAAACCTCACACCTTGGTCCAGTCTAGTTCATCTAAACAGTGCCCATTCGGGGCTGTAGGGAGAGAAATTCCTCTGCCTCCAGCACCAGTGGGGCCCTGCCATGGGAAACCTTCACAGCAGCTGCCAGTGTGGTCTCCCTCGGCCGTCAGACATGTAGCCCTCTGATATGGCCGGGAGCGCAGGTGCAGGAGTCTGGTGTAAACAGAAGGGGCTGCCCTGAAGAGCTAACCACAGACACAGACAAAGGAGGAGCAAAGCAGACTGCTTAGCAGCTAGCTATAACAAACAGCTTGTTCAATTGCTACCTTAAAAACACATCTGGACTCAGGTTTTCTCTAGCGGAGACACTGTTGAGATGGCCACGGGAGGCTGAAATGGGCGCTCCCTCGTGGTGAGAATGGGAAGGGGGCCACATGGTTTGGTTCTCTTTCCAGCAACATTGTTGGCTTTCCAAATACTGGTGTGTAAATCTGCGTGTGGGTGATGGGAAATGTGAACAGACCTGTCGACTTGGTGCCTCTTTATTGCCCTCTGCCCAATTTTGCAGTGTGAAAATGCAAGTTCTTGAAGTGCAGACTCACACCAGGAGGTTACTTATTTCCTTGCAAGAGGGTGGTGGCAGTGGTAAATGTCTTCATCTTTTCCCACGTGTGGTGAGGAAGATGCTTCATTTTCAGTTTCCCATGTACCTAGATCAGCTGGAGTTTGCATTCCCACTGGAGGTGGTGGGACACACCTTGCCTTTCAGGAATCTAAGAGACCATGGACAAAGATTACAAAGTTCAGGAGATTCAGAATAAAAATCAGAAGATCTGACCATTTCCCCTCTCTCTGTCTGCCCCAGTGGGGACTCCTGGGTTAGACGAGATGACTGCATCATTTCCATTCGCAGTGTCCATCCGGATAATCCAGGTTTATAGGAATGTGTAGGAACATAAGAGCGGCCGTACTGGGTCAGACCAAAGGTCCATCTAGCCCAGTATCCTGTCTGCCAACAGTGGCCAGCACCAGGTGCCCCAGAGAGGGTGGACCGAAGACAACGATCAAGCGATTTGTCTCCTGCCATCCCTCTCCAGCCTCTGACAAACAGAGGCCAAGGACACCATTTTATCCCCTGGCTAATAGCCTTTTATGGACCTAACCTCCATGTAATTATCTAGCTTCTCTTTAAACTCTGTTATAGTCCTAGCCTTCACAGCCTCCTCTGGCAACGAGTCCTCTGGCAACATGTCCCTCCAGAACCCATATTTCCACGGTAGCTGGAGCTATAATGGATTTCATAGCCACTACTGGGATGCTGTAGGCTTCTGCTGGATCTGCTGACAGGATCACATTGGAGGAGGTGAGGGGATGCAGCCACTGGTTTCCAGGTCAAACTAGTTCCTGGGAGAGATGACTGAAAGAATCAGGTGCCGATTCCATTTCCAGTCTTAGATGTGAGTATTTTGCGGGTGCAGCAGGAGACAAGCTGGCCCACTCCCTTCAGCGGTATTAGAACGGAATTCCATCTGCTACTGTTCCAAGAGCCGCCGTGTCTGCCTGCTTTTCCAGAAATACGACTGCGGCTTACTCGCCATCTGTTGATAAACCACGCGCAGGGAACGGGGGAGTTCTAATTGACATGCTTTTCCCCCTAAGTCCTCTCAACAAGTGAAGCATGTCAGATATTTGTAATGATTGAAGCCAATTCATTTAAATAAATCCCCAGCAAGTACTGTAAAATACAGGTATTGAAAAAGCCTCACCCTGCTGTATCAAAATGATCTCAAGGACGTTAAACCGTGAAGGGAAATGCTACCCAAACTCTGGCAAGAAACTAAAAGCGCAAGTGACCAATGTCAAACAGCATTAAATGGCACCGGATGGAGAGAGGAGAGAATATTCGAGAGGCTCTGCTTACATCAGGAAGCCAAGTGAAATGTTAGCAAAATAAGCGCCTCTTTAAATCTGCCTTCCTCTGTTTCTATTTCCATATTCAATTAGCTTCCCAAGAGCGCCAAGAATTGTCTGCAGTCCCCTTAAGGCAATTGCCCCTTGAGAGAAATTTCCTTTTGCAGCTTTTACTGACTGAATAGAGGTGCTCATTTCACTCTAGGAGAGTGAAGAATACGCCTGTTCCTATCTGACTCAATTCAAACGTCTGCTTTCAAAGCCATCACCTATCGTTCTCTGTTCTTCTTGCGGCATTTCTGTTCTTGTCTCTGAAATTAGGACACCCGTGGAAACACTCATTACCTCATGAGCCATCTCACGGCAGATTTAATCTAGTTGTTGCTCTTATTCAGAGCAACAAACCCTTCCCTTTGGATTCTACCTCCTGCCCCCTCCCATCCCCTCCACTATCTCTCACACAGACACACACTTTCCTCAGATGCTAACATAGATGTGTTGCCTTTATCACATTTCACAGCACTGGAAACCTTCCTAGCCGTAAAACAAGCAGTCCCTCTGCACCACAGTCTGACCAGTCTCATAGTGAATTCTCCTCGGTACTGCCAGATAACAGAGGCTATTTCCGGACCGCAAGAGAAGGGGTGGGTAGTAATCAGCGTGCGCTAATGACAGAGATGAGACAGCATCCGCTGGGTTTGTCAGCCAGAATTTGACAGATTGGGCAAAAAACGCATCCACCAGAGAGAACCATGTAACGAAAGGGGATTGTGCTGGCACTGGCTGAGAACTGACCAACTCGTCGCTGGAACCCCAACCAGCTCACCTGGGCGTTGCAAACAGGAATGAGTCGGACAAGGCTGGATTTGACTCTCTGCAAGGCACACGCGCGTCCCTCTCACTGGTAATGACTGGACTCCGGGCTGTCCTCCGGGCCAAGCGTTGAGCTGGAGCACGACATGGCATTTCTGTGGCAAGCTGAGGAAAAGGGCTCAAAAGCTGTTCCGGCAGCAGTACCCTCCCCCAGAGGCATGGGTCCCTGCCTAACGAGCCATTTTCATCATAGGCGAGTCGTTCGCTTGAGGGGAAAACCTTTCCATGGTCTTAGGCTCCCTTTTTCCCCAGTGGCGGCCCACCAGGCGTGGGGATGGTTGGGGGAAACCCAGTCCCACCCACTTACTCCGGATTCTGGCCCGGGGCCCTAGGTAGCAGCCACTAGTGGGACTCCTGCCCTTGTCCCCACAGAATAGCCCCCCTCTCCCTGGGCTGCTCCCCACATTACCTCCTCCTGGGCCACTAGAAGAGAACTTCTCCCAGGATTCATTTTCCATTCTCCTCCACCCCATGCTTCCTCCTCTCTGGTCCACCATTCTTCTCCTTCCCCTGCCTTACCCGAGGGGAAACCTTTTATAGCAGCCCAGCGGGCCTTAACAGGCTGCAGGTGTCCACTCCAGCCTCTCCTTCCCCCGCCTGACCTGAGGGGAAGCCTTTCGGCATGGGGCCAGCAGGCCCTCCCCAGCTGCAGGTGCCCCCTTAGCCTGCTGCTGCAGGCTGGCTCTGAATGAGGCCCAGGTGCCTGCCGGTTTTAATTGCTGAGCAGCCGTCTCTGGCCGCCTACGCAGGGGACAGGAGCCCACTCGCCCAATGACCCGTGTACCTGCCCTTCCCCCAAACACCTGCAGCCTGCTGCCTTCGGGCTGCCACAGTGCGGAGAGCCAGGAGATGAGCCCCACCGTGGAATTGATGCTGCAGCTTCACAGCGCCAGATGCCTTGACGGTAGGTTTGCCAACTTTCATTGCTCCCTCTCCTCCCCCTGTCACTCACTGGGCTGGCTGGGGGGACAGGGCAAAGGCTCCAGCCTGACTAAGTGTAAGGTTCATTC